ATACAGTATGTCAGAATCTTTTACAACTTGTGGGTTATGGGAAGATGTACCTTACATTTATTTCTTGGGGCTGGCTTCATCTGATAACTCTTGGTCTTTCCCTATTCACCTTTTCCACTGCCCCTCACACAAAGTCACTATGGTATTCTTGTTGTCTGCTCCAGGCAGAAAATCCCTTTGTATTTAGTAATTCCCTGTACAGAAACTGGTATGCAACTTTCGTTGTGTCATCCTCCCCTGTGTCTTTTCTCATTTTACTTTATCTTTGCTGAGAAGGCTGAAACTGAAGTGGTACTCAAGATTTAGTCACACCAGTCCTTTTTCCTTTAAAAAAAAATTTTAAAAAAATTACTGTTTATGTTTGGATTTTTACTCTTTCTCTTGTAATCTCTTCTTATACTGTGTTTTATTGACTGTCACTGATCATTAAACTGATGGTCTGTATCTTATTTCCTGAGTAGGCACCAGGTAGTTCAGAGACTGTCACTGAATACATGCAGGTAACGACTGATTTGTGCCCTCTAGCTTGGTTTAAATGTATGGATATGGTTTTCTAAGGGGACAGCAGTGTCCCCTTTACTTCCCCTTCAGCAAAGCTTTTGACAGTGCTTGCTGTAGCATTGTTGCAGGCAGGGTGATGGAGCTCATGTCAGATGACAGAGAGTGAGGAGGGTTGGAAAGTGGCTGAAATGCCAGGGCTGAGTGACTGGTGGCACAAATCTGGAGCCCAGTCACCAGTGGTGTGTCCAAGGGCTTGACATTGGGCCCCTCCCAGTTTAACATCCCCTGGAATGAGCTGAACCCTCAGCACCTTCACAGACGAACAAAACTGGGAGTGGCTGGTTCACTGCAGGGTTGGTGCTGCAGGGGCACCTGGGCAGACTGGGAATGGAAAGAAATTAGGAGTAAGAAACCTTGTGACACTCAATAAAGGGAAGTGCCAATACTGGGGAGGAACAGCTCCAAGCACAAGCACACACTGGGGTCCAGATGTGGAAAGCAGCCCTGCAGAAGGACCTTGCTGGTCCTGGTGACAACACAAGGATAGGGCAGTGGCTCAGTGCCCTCAAGGCAAAGGTGGCCAGTGGTGTCCTGGACTGCATTGAGAGGGGTCAGCAGGTCAAAGAGTCATCCATGGCACCTCTCAAATTAGAGAACTGGTAATGGATTTCCTATGCTGTGTTTTTTAACCTTCTGTCTTTTAATAGCTGTTATCCTTTTGAAGACTTTCTTCACATCCCCTGGGAGTTTCTGCAATGGTCCTTGATGCAAAGCACTGTTAGGCGGCTTTGAAAGTCCAGTTGTCTGAAATGATTTCTCTGCATGCTGCTGATTCCCTCAAAGTTCACATCTGTGGGATACAACATCCCTTTGCCATGCTGATTCCTCCACAGTATGTCCCACATACCCCTGGGTCCACTTATCGTTTATACCACATAATGGTAGAAACATCTGGGTAACACTTTTTTATTTTAAGTCCCAGAAAGCCTCTTAAAAATTGAGACTATGTATGTTAATAATTTCCCATTCATATGGCAATGAGACCTGGCACTCATCCTTAAGCCTTCCCCAGTGATTAGCATTGGCTTTTGGCAGTTTGCTGCTATTCCTTCTGTTGATTCCTCTCTAGAATATTTTGTTGACACTTAATTTTGAATAATTTCTCTGGTATTTGCCCTCTGCTGGGGAATGTTGGGTTGGCTATCTCATGAAACTTTCACAGGAAATACATAAGCAAAGAGTGAGTTGACATATTCTGTCCTTTATTCAACTGCCCTTCTTAATCTTGGTGTCAGACTTCTTGTTGCAGTGTATTTATTATTTCTTGTGCCTTTCATGAGGAACTAAATCCTCTTTAGCATACTTCTAATGTTTAAATTTATATTATTTTATATTTTCAGCTTTTTCAAGGACATCTTACTTTGATCAGTTGCTTTTGCTGCCAGTTTAATCCAGACTTCTGTTTCTGTATTCTAAATCTTCCTTGAACTGGTTCTCTGGTACCCAGAAAAAAATTGGTGGCTCCATTCCAACATGCTTAATAGTTACTTCCTTGAGTTAATTTTTTCTCATTTTGCAATTAGGCATTACTGTAGTAGGTGGCTTGACTTTTATCAGTCTTGCAATGATAATATCCTAATAAATTCCATATTTTTAGAGTTTGATATTATTCTGATTGTATTATTGCTATTCTGATACTATGCTATGTCAGCACCCTCATTAAAAACATTCTCAAGTACTTTAAAATGATGTCCTACTTTTTTTTTATCTGCAATTTATCCATTTTATTGAGATGGGTTGAAGTATTTATTATCGTTAATGAACATTCACTGGAATTACACTCCAGCAATCTGTGTTCTGGTAGTTGTATTCATACTTTCTAATAAATATTTTCTTTCTGCTAGTTAAATGCTTTGGCAGCAACAGATTTTTCCAAAAGAAAACCAGAAGTGCTTGAAGAAACACCCTGCAAGTTGTGTAATTGTGTACCTAGAACATATTCACCATCTCTACTTCATCAATATTTTACTTAACTAAAAGCTTCTCCTTTTTATCCTACTTGCATTCTATGTTCCTCTGAGAATGATTTTTTACTTGTTACAGTAAAAAAATCAACATATCGTTGATTTTGCAGAAAAGTTAAAAAAACCCCATTAGCACCCCAAGAGCATAAATTTATCAGTCCAGATTCCTCATGTGTGGGTCCTCAAGACTGTGCTAAGAATACTTTCTAAGCAGGCTCTCAGGCAACTTTAAGCAGGAGGCTCAAAATACTAGTGCAAAATTAGCTCATTAATAAACCACATGATTATAGAGGATTATTTTCTTCAGCTGACTTGTATTTTTGTCATTAGTTTCTGTCCAGGATAAGAAACCCTGATTATTACAACTACCACACAACAATTCTAGCTTTGCTCTTTAGTTACTAGACAGGAGTTGAGGAAATAGATGGATTAAGGATAATGAGACTATGGATATACTAACTGTAATTATTTTAGAACAGAGAAATTGCTGGGATCTTACATGTGGCTTGTGTGGGATCAGACACCTCTGAGTCGATGCACTGCTATTGACTGTAAGAGTTCACTGCTTTGTCAGCTGGCTGAATCCAGGTAAGTACCTGAGGACACTATTTACAAACCAAGGAGGATTCACAACTACTTCTGCTTCCCAGCATCTAAATTTTATCCTCTGAACTGTATCTTCTCTCTCAGCTGGATCATCCAATCCTGCTTTAAAGCAAATCCCACAATCTGTGACACTTATCTTCAATTTGATCCTGTAGGATGGCAGCTGTTCTCTCTCATTTAAGCAACTGTTCACTTGAAGATATTAAGCAGCTTCCATCTGCCTGGAAGCACCTACTGGAAACCCAGTTCAGACAAGGGTTTAGAAAAGCTCTCTTAATGGGCCACTTAAATTCAAAGCCTCCAGCATCTCTGCAGGAAAGCAGCCTACCAATCCACAAAAGCATTTTGAAACCAGGCTTGTTAAGGAAACTGCAGAACATGTAACAATGAGTGGACACACCAGGTTGATGCATATGTAATGAAATATTTGCCTAATTTGGGAGTGCTGGTAATGCTGTATAGGGGTCAGTGTTCCTAATGGCTCTGTGACATTAATTCTGCATAGTTCAGAATAGCTCTGCAGTCTGGGAAAGATAGGGGGTAAAAAGACAGATCTGAAGGGGACTTTGATACAGTTGAAACCAGAAACTGATCTATTCTACAAGGCTGACAAGCCAACAGCCATAAAAGTGTCAGAAACTATCCTTTCTGGTCAAGCTGCTTTGTCTCAGTGGCCGTGGACAAGTAATACAAAACGTGCTTAGAAGAAATTTCTGCATCTTATGTAGATACTGAAGATCCTCAAAATGTTCTTAGGGAAGTGACCAAAGCATGAGGAAGGGAGGCAAATTCTCAAAGGTCCCTAATAAAATCTCATCCATTATGGAGGCAATTCTGTAAAGTCAGTATCAAGAGGAACAAACAACATGAGCTGCACACTGAGGTGCCGCTGCCACTTGTATCTGGTCTTGTGGCTTGGTTCTCAAACAGTTTGGTTCTCTGTGGTGGCACCACAGGCTAAATTACTGCACACCTTCCCATCAGTGAGTCTGCTCTCATCATCACTAAGTATCCAAAAGTGCTCCTGCTGCCAAATCCAGGAGCCCACCTCCTGCCTGTCCCCCTCCTGCTGACCAGAAGGAAGCCCCATGGCTGGGAAGTGCAGGCACCTCTATAGTGCCCATCCCTCCTGTCGCTGGGCTGGCTCACTCAGCCTGGGCAGGAGCTGCTCCTGGATCTCTGCTTCCCTCAGAGACAGGAGACAGACAGACAGACACAGACAGACAGACAGACCTCCCATCCTCCCCTCACTCCCCACTCCCACTGCATGGAAACCAGGCTCCTGACCTCGGATGGGTGCTAACAGGGACATTCAGAACAGATCCCAACAGTGCCTCAGCACAATCGAAGTACCAACAGCTAGAAAAGCCCCAAGGAATCATACAGATTCCATGAATATACTTCATATATTTTATACTTTTATATAAAATTTTATACTTTTATACAAATTATACTTTGTATAATTACAAAGTGTCTGTGATAATCTATCTAACAACATTATACTCTTAAAAAAATTCAGGAGACTTTATTTTCCTACAAAATGCAGCAATTTTTCTAATTTGCTGCATGTGGTGGAAGAGTATTAACCAAACAGCCCCTTTGCTGGAACAGTTATTAAACTACAGAACTTTTCTAGCACACAAGCAAATGAGCTCAGAGGGCTTTACACCAGCACCCCCTGCACATAACACGGTGCTGCACCCAACCCCTGGGCATTTTACAACAGCTCATATTTGTCACCCAAGAACAACTTAACTCCTTTCAGGGCATATTTGGTATTGTTACAATTACAATTATTACCTTGCATAGACACAATTCCCAGGTTTTTGAATAGTGACAACTTCTACAAGATAAAGAGACAAGATCAAGTATTTTAAGGTACTTTTATTTAATAAATAACTTCAGTAATAGCACTGTAAAAAGTGAACATCTGTTAAAATAAAAAGGCACTTAAAACAAGAATATGACTATGATGCAGTTTGAATGGTCAGAGGCAAATATACATGGCACATGTCAAGAATGATGTGTGACTCGTCATATGACAAACTATGCAATCTTAGCTACAGGGTAAAGGCAAATTTACAGCTAAGACTGCTCAAAAAAAAAAACCCAAGGAAAAAAAGCTTGTGTTGATACAAAAATATTACAAAAAGTATCGCAACCAAATACGTTAGGAAGATTAGAAGGTGACAAAGCACCAGGCTTGAAAGCAAAGAAACATTACAGAATAAAGACACAGCATCACGTAAGGCCCTTAGGTGATCTGAGGATGTCTTGGTAAGGTACTTCATGATACTGCCACCCAGGGCTTGAATTTACAAAGAAAAACTAAGCAAGTTACTGGTCAGCAACTTCTTCAGTAATGGCACATGTTTTAAAGCTATTTTTTTCCTTCTTAACATTCTTCTCAAAACCTTTCATTTTAACCATAACCTGGCAATAGGCAACTTGAAAATCAAAGGTAAGTCTGCACTCGCTTTTCAGTCTTTTACACTGCTCCCTTCCAGCTCACTCAACTTACCAAATACTTAATCATACATCTAGCACATCAAAGACCAATTAACCACCAGCTCCATGCTACATGAGTTTAATTACATCTGCAAACTCAAGCCCTGATTTCCCTGTAAAGCTAAAAAGTTTAATACTAAATGGCTAGGCAGAGCCCTCATGCTGATTGCTTTAACCCCTTCCCTCCCAGTCATGCCATGCAGCATCACGCCCTGCACAAGACCTGGATTCACAGCATGGGAATGGGAAAGGTCAGAAAGGCACCATGTGATCCTGGGCTGACTAGGCTACATAGTCTCAAGTTTTTTTGTCCAACCTCTGGCACCAAGTACTCTTATTTGCAAAAAAAACCCAAAACAAAACAAAAAAACAAACCAAAAGAAAAAAAAAATTAAAAAAATTAAAAAAAAAAATTACATATGGTACATTTTCACACAGGAAAACAAACCTATATGTAATGAATTAGTAAATCACTGCAGTTTGCCCTAAATCTATCTTATTGTGACTACAAAAGTTGCTATACTGCATACAGTGTTGTGAAGTTATACAAGCAGTGTTCATTTTCCCTCATATTTAGGATTGACCACAGTTGTCACTGCACTCTTGTAAATAGGATTTTCACCCTAGAAAAAGAAAAAAAAATATATTAACATTTGAAGACATGAAAAAATATAGGTGTTTGCAAGAAGCATAAAAATTAGCATGAGAAATTACCCATTAATGCTTTGTTTGTACACACAAACAGCTTAAGTCAAACTAGTTTTCCTTCTAGCAACTTGAACACAGGCATGCACAGCTAATATATAAAGCAAAGGGTTAGCAGGATCCTGTTCCATTTGCACCACACAATTCCTTGGAGGAGGCTGAACCTCACAGGCTCATCTTGGGGCTCAGCTATCACCCAGAGCACTTCAGCCCAGGACATTTTATAAAGAAGAACAGAATTGTAAACAACATTGTTTGACTCCCGGTCTGACCACAGACCACATTCTGCTATAATAAACATTTGAACAGCTTATCTTACATTGTAATTGAATTCTAGAAACAATGTGGCAAGACTTCTAGTATTTTGCTAATACACAGTCAATATTTACAGTGAACATTCAGTACATATCATTCTCATTTTATTCCTGTAGGTCTCCCCACCCCCATAAGGGCAAAATGTACAGAAAAAACAAAGAAACTTCTGTAGTGGTGCAGATGCTGTAATAAAAAAATTATTTCTAGTGATATGAGACAAGCCCTACAGAACAATTGCTTACATTTCTCTTGCTGAGATTTAAAACCCTCTAAATTAAGTTGTTTTTAAGCTTCCTTTTTTTCCAGGTTTCCTTCTATCTCCATTTATGACATCCGTGCACACTTCAGATGAACATCGTGAACTCAAAATTAACAGATAAATTTTCACAGGAGCAAGGGACCACTGCTAGAATGGCCTGGAGCTGCAACTCTGAGCTCTTATCACAGCCTGAACCTCAGCCTAAATGAGTCTTGTCTGCCAGCATGAAGCTCTTCTGTGCATTCATAACTGATTCCTGAGAAAATCCAGCTCAGTGCAGCTGTCAGCTCGAGTGCTGTTCTGGCCAGGGCTGTATCTGGCCTTCAGCAGCAGTAAGGAAACCTCTGTCCCTTTCAAGTTCCTCCCACGCAATCTGAGATGGGCTATACAACCACATTAATTCAACTCTATTAATATTCAACTCGATTTACAATATTTCAGGTTAAACCAATTTTTCCTATACTCTATTACAGGACACACAAACATCAGGTGTCTATTTTTCAGGGTCATAAACCTGGAAAATCAGCTAGGAATACCACAGAACGTGCAAAGGCAAGCAAGAACCTCAATTGGTTTTCTCATCACAGTTCCTGGGAAGCTTGCTGCCTTCTGTTTGCAAGGCCCAGCACAGGAGAAGTGACTGCTCCACCCCAACAACAGTGGCCGCTGCTGAGGGAGACCCTGCAGCTGCTGCCATGGTTCCTTTCGCAGGAAAAGGTTATTTCTCCTCAGAGCCAGCTTCTCTAACATGCAAAGAACAAGGAGGGGCATCCAGTCTTGCCTAGATCCAAGAGACTTGTCCAGCCAGAACCTGGACTGCCAGACAATGGAAGTAAAAGCTCTCTGTTCAGTCTTCTCAAGATCTGAGTCAGTGTTACCTGGACAGAGCTGAAGGAGCAGCTGGGTGCTCAGTTCACAAATACAGCTAACAGCAAAATCCCTTCCCCCTTCTGTCAGTTCCCAGGCAAATGCTGTCTTGACTAAATGTGTATCACCTACTGCTCTGGGAAGGGAGGAGGAGTAACATTTGGTTGGGTTTTTTAAAATTTTAAATAATGGACAATCATGTGATGTGGCTTGTTCTCAGACAGACTAATTAATCAATGCAAAATTATAACCCTCCATGATATTTTTAGCAGAAGGTTTGCAATAGTAATATGCAAATGAAATGGGAAAAACACCCAGGGATGAGGGATTTAATCTGGCACTGAAGTATTCTCTTTATGCCTCAAAGTTCTTGTACATTGCTTATTTCCTTGACAAGTTTTAATGGAGAATTCTTAAAAATATAAATATAAACCAATAAAGTTCATGGTGCAGAGGAAGTCTGTAATCATAAGAGGCTGCATCATATGCAGAGCAGAAGTTACTGTAGAACTCTTCGATGGCAAGGCATTATGTAATACTTCTTACACTGTGCTGTTAGCCTCCAACATTTTACAGAACAGACTCCCCCCAGCACATACAGGGGATATACACTCACATCTAGTTATAAAAGACAGAACTTCTACCAGATAGTCTAGGAATGGGTCTAAAGGTAAGGACTAAAACTTGGAAATTTGCTAGGTGCTACTCATACAACTAATTTGAACCTGAAATCAGGCTTAAAATACAATTTGCATAACAGGATTGGAAATTTTTTACTATACTGCTTTTTGAAGAGAAGTCAGAATTGAAGTCTTCATGTTCTTGATTTAGCACAAGCCCTGTAAGGATACTGAAAAATTCTGTCCTGCCTTCCCTTGTACTTCTCAGAAGCACAGAGTGGGATTTAGGTCACTGGATAAAGCACTGGACTAGCTGTCTCCCCAGGTCAGTGTCTCAGTTCCCATTACAAATACTGGAGATTTAGTCAATATTCACAACTCTTCAGCTTAACCCAACCTGACATTTGATCAGCTAAATGGCTCCTGAGGCTCTACTGCCTATAACTGCAATGCAGGCACCTGATGGATCTGCAGGTTCCTTCCCTGCTTCTCCCTGGCTGTTACAGCCACACCCCAACCTTGTCTTGGGCCTGGCTTAGCAGGGCCTCCTGCAGACACCTCTTCATTAAAATAAATATCCACTAATCCAACATGATGCTCCCCTTACTCATACCCTCACAGCTGGCAGAGGGTATACATTTTCAGACATTAGAAGCATTCCAGTTTTTTAACTGGCTTCTAAAACATGGGATTTCACACTTGCTGTCTTAGACAACTAGTATGGTTTTAAACACCCCCTTTTCTTTATGCACTGCAGAAAATACAGTTTCAAGCATGCAGAGTTAGGGAAAACACATTTGCCACATGCCCCTACTACTGAAAACCCCATGCACACTTAAACCAAAATTAAATTAACAAACAGTAATACATACATGACTCAATGAAATACTGAGTGAAATAAAGATGGAGGTACTTTTTAAAATTACCTTAATCTGAGAATAAAGAGCTATGTTCTTGCAACAATATTCACTTTCAACTAGACTGGGCTGTTCAGAGGACAACAGTTCAGTCCACTGTTACATAAATATGAAACTATTACAGGATGTTCAATTAACCTTCTTATTCCTTTTGCTCCAGGGGCTCACTGTTTCAACAGTCACTGAAGCTACTGCCATAGCGGGTTTAAGACCTAAGTCACTGTTAGAAGCAGAATTAAAACTCATGCACACCCATTGTTCAGGAGCTGGTTGTGACTACTTCCATCCACCCTTGGAGCCACAAACAGCAGTCATTGAATACAGGAATTTACATGAAAGGGATTGAAAACATGGCAACTGTGCTCCCACACCCAGAGCATGTTCATCATTCAGCAGCAAGGTAAGTCACAGGCATAAAATCCAAGTCAGGAGAAGAACAAGTCCCTGCAATTTTGAGCGCTTTGAATTGTTTGTGGTTTTCTTCTGCATTTTAACCAGTAGCTGCTAAAAAGGCTAACCAAGTTACTACAGACTTAGTGTCTAATATAAACGTGTTTATCACTTGTGAAATTCAAGCTGACTGAATCTGGAGTCTGCTTGAAGATGCTTAGCAATGCACAAGCTATCCCCATGCAGGACTGATAATGGCGTTCACTACAAATAGCATCTTTGTGTTTTCAATTTGTGATGCAGCTTTTCAGTCCAGAAGAAAATGAATCTTTAGAGTTGCTACAAGCATGATTCCACCAAAGTTTTTATAGCTGATTGGGGTAGAACCTGGGCCTTGAGCACTGACCACCAGGATGCTGTGGCATCATCTGCACCACCAGGGAAATGTCTGAGTACCTGGTCCATGACAAACTCCATGGTGCTGCAGTTCCCTCACCAGCCCATCTGTGGATGATGACTGTGGGAAAGGAAGGGTCACAAACTGCACAAAGTTAATTTGTGTATACACACACCTGGAGGGAATCCACTACAGTGTAATTTTCATATAATGGGATTTCAGATGACTCTCCTGCCTTGACATTACAAAGCAACTTTCATCTAAATGGGAGGCTATGGCAATTATCTAAAACCACCAGAAAATCTTACCTACAGAGAAAAGCAGGACCTTGTTTTACATCTCATGGCTCACCTACTCTGACAATTCTGACCCCCTCTTTTCTGGTGGTCCATAAGAATAATCCCACCTCCCTTCTCTCCCTGGACTTCTAATATTTCTATGAATATCAAAAATTATGAAGTTAAGTTCAAAAAAACCCAAACCACACCTTTTCACACTTTAAACCTTCACATCTGAGCAAACCAAAAAGGCAGAAGTCAATCCCTCCATTTAAACCAGAATAAACTTTTGCAGGAAATACATTTTGAGGAGAAATAGCAGCACCAAGGACATTACATCCTGAAGAGTCACAGGGCAGAGAACAAGAGCACAGAATGGAAGTTACACACCGTATGGTTTGTTAGGTGCTTGTCCTGCATGCAACAGAAAGTACACAGTTAAGTGAATGGCAGAAGAACAGGTAACAGAGACTTAACCAGATGGAGTATGTGGTGTTAGAAAGGACTAAAAACTCAATTTCCTCCCCAGAACAATTGGCTCTGGGAGAAAAATAAAAAGGAGGTGAATGTGGTTGATGTAGCAGGCAAAAGGAATGTTTTTTACAATCTATTCTGGACACATTGGAAAGTGAAATGATTGCAAAGAGAAAAGGAAACTATATTTAATCAGAATGCTACACAAAGCATTTGGAACTGCTGTCACAGTGAGACCAAGTAAGAGCTTAAATAGTCTCAGTTTCTGCTTTCTCCCCTTATTTTTTCTTTACAAAATCTTTTGAATGCAACACTGAAAAAGACAGCAGACAGTATAAAATTAGAGATACAGATCCTTCCCTTTCATTGGATTCTAAAAAAAAAATGAATCCATGGATGTTTAATGGATGTGCTGCCTTTCTCTTTTCCCCTCCCTCTAGTCTCATCTCTGCACTACTTTCTCTTAGTGCTCTTCCAGCATCTGTTCTGCATCTCAGCCCCCCTTTCACTCCTTCCCCAGCAGCTGGGGGTGCCAGGGAAGGAGAACACCTCGAGCACCCATGGAGGGCAATCTGAGAGTCTGCAGAAGGTCTGATCACTTCTGCTTCACCGACTTCCTCTCCTGGATACTGCTGCTACTTCTGGTGTGCTGGGTATGAAGAGAACTGACCTCAGCAATTCCAATCAAATGAGGTGCTCAGGCTGAGTTTAGGGGGAAGTAAGAAACTGAATGAAAAATGCATCTAGAGGGGACAAGAATATTTCCTCCTGCCCTATTAGTGTTACATTTCTATGGACACCCTGAAGCTGGCTACATTACAAGGACTGTGACATTACCAGTTTCAATAGAAATAAGGATAAAAAAAATAAGGTGCATATTTAATTATATGGTAGAGTATATGCATTTCATACAATACAATACAATTTCATATAATTACAGACTAGGTCTATACTAGGTTAAAAAGACAAAGCAGTTTATAAAAAAAAGTAATGCTACTCTGCATGTTCACAGAACCATTCTAATAAAACAAATTATATTTGTTAGCTGAGATATTTTAGGAGTATCTAATCTAGCTTAGCAAAAATATTGATTTTAAGCAAACTGACTGCTGATTTCAAGAAATGGAAGACAAAGCATCCCCTGTGTATCTCTCTACAATCCAAAAATATTCTTCAATCTTAAGAGCTGTTCTATTATGTATCAACACATCTGCAAAAAAATTTAAAAAATCGCTTGTAGAATAGTTTAAGCCAGTACTGGCAGTATTAGTAAGTAAGCAATCTTGCTGTCAAAACCAGTTAAAAATTTTCAAGCTGCATTCTTGAAAACCCCACAATCAAAGCAGGTACACTGAGCAAGACTCAAACTGTGATTAACTGACTGTGACATACAATGAGTTTGAAGTGACATGCAAAGGGGAAAAAGAGGAAAGAAAATGAAAGGAGATACAAACTGAGACTTAGAGACCAGCTTTACGTCCATAGTTTGGATTCTTGAAATTGTTAATAGGGCTCTTGTATATTGGATTTTCTTGCTGAAGTAAAAGAAATGGTCAATGTCGAATAATTCAACAGGAAAAGAAAAGCAACATTCTCAACTATCACTGAAAAAAAATCATGCTATATATAGAGTGTTAGTAATTTTTTTACCCTCGGTACGAGATTAATCGGTTTTCTTAAGTAAAACCAAAAGGCTTCCTAGGAGAATTTTTTACAAAGATATTTTCTTATCAAGCACATGGGGGCGCTGACTTCTACAGAACTGTAGTGAAGAGGTTCTTGATTAGCAGACTCCTGACACTGCCCAGAGGCAGCAACTCCATAGTCTACCAAAGCCTGTAAGACCATAGGCTGGTTTTTCTTGCACATGTCTCTGTTGACAAAGAGCTGGCAAGATTTCAACAAACCAGCACCAGCCATGATTTTGAGACTTTATGGAAGTTTCCCAACTAACCCTACGTGAGTATTTATAAGATTTACTCAATGAGCACAAAATTTTCTTCTTTGCTTTCTACAGAAGTGACTCATCTTTATAATAAACGTTCTCATCATATGCTGTAAAGTGTGGTAGAACTTGCAAAGCTGAACTGTTGTGTCACCCTCACATTTTCTCTCTGAAATATTATTTAAACCTGAGTTACTACTCTCCTTTCTGCCTCAAGAAATACTTCTCTAAGAGGACTGGTTGTAATTTGAAACACTTTAAAGCACGTGAACAAAAATCTTCTATTTTTCCTCCGCTACTGCAGATTTTATACATAGAAAAGCTTCTTGACTCACCGTATCCCACTTGGCATTCATTTTCTCCTTTTCAAATTTAGCAAATTCTCTTCTGTCATGAATGATCATTAGTAGTTTCCAAATCAACAATAATGCAAGTCCAATAAGAACAATTCCAGCAACCACACCAGCTACAATGGGAATGATGTCAGGACCGCTGGGGCACTCTGGGGAGCAAAGTAAGGGAAACATGATTTTACAAAATGGTAAAGGTAATGCATATCCAGGAACTGTTAACATTTGATTTTGTACTGAAGCCAGTATTTTGAATATCAGATATGCCAATACTATTTTTCTTGCAAATATCGTAATTTTTTGAATATGTACATCTTGTAACATTCAGCTTATTTTTATCCTTCTAATTTGTGTTTGATCTTAGCAACAGAACAACCTGTTCTGATGATAAAGTGTATACACTGCTAACCCCTTAAGCTATTTATTTACAGTATGAAGAGCAAAATAACTGGCAATTGTATTTAAACATGCGAGAGCTCCAGGTCAAAGCTGTGACAGCTGGAGCACAAATGCTGAGCAGCAAAACCCGCCCCACATACAGACACAGAATATCCTGAGTTGGAAGGGACCCACAAGGATCATTGAGTCCACCTCCTGGCCCTGACACAAGACAGCCACAAAAGTCACACCCTGTGCCTGAGAGCACTGTCAAAACACTTCTTGAATTCTATCAGGTTTGGTGCTGTGACCACTTCCCTGGGAGCCTGTCCCAGTGTCCAACCACCTCCTGAAAAACCTTTTCCTAATACCTGACCTAGATCTCCCAGACACAACTTCAGGCCATTCCCTCAGGTCTTGTCACTGGTCATAACAGAGATCAGGGTCTGCCCTTCCTCTTCCCCTCACAAGGAAGCTGTAGACTTCCTTGCACCTTGTGATGAGATGCAAGGTGATTTAAAATGGCTGACACAGAAATAATAATCCTCCAAATTAAAACCCAGCTCCACTATTAACGTAGAATTCCCAATAATCACGAACTGAAGAAAGGCTTTTGCAGAGCTCAGCACACAGAGTGAAGGAGTCAGAAGCAAATTAATGCAACCCCTGTGCAATAGAACAACTGTGGATAGAACACAGCTTTCCCCACACTGCAGACTCCCTATCTTCATAGCTACCTCTGCAAGAGCGAGGGAGTTTGGAAGGGACATGACAGGAATTCCTTGGGAGCCAGTAAGAAACGAGTGTCTGCTCCACAGAACACAGCTCTACTGGCCAGAGCTTGTTCCATCAGCACTTGTATGACACAAATTAAGGTGCCTCCTCCTGCATGATGGGCTTGATTCACCTCTGAGCTAAGGCAGCAGAAGTTTACACATGAAGAAAAGGTCAGGCCCCAAAAGCGTAGGACATGTATGGCTTGTCCCAGGAGACAGAGCTCAAGTTCCTCCTCCGTACTGTGGACTACTTTTGTAGAGAATTTAAAACATTCTGAATTGAAGCAGTATTTATTTCTATGAGCCATTGTTTATAACCTGTAGCAGAAGCTTAATAAAAAAAATTATCAAAATTTATCTAAATAGGACTTGCTACAAGAGAGATAAAATAAGCCTGAGTACATCAAGTGCAAACAGGAAATGTTTCAACAAAGACACATATCTGATTTACCTTTTGTTTTTGAAAAATCTAGACCAAGGGAGACATACGTTTTTCTAAAGCCGCTCAGACACTCACAGCTCTGGCTGGGGGAACAGGCAGCTGTTTCTGAATGCATTTAACTCACCCAAATGAACCACAGGTACTTTGTAGCACCCAACAACTGCACAAATTAACAACAAAGGAGGAACAGGCAATAGCATGCTCCTACCTGGGGTCTCCACCACGTGGACATTGGCTTCACCATTTGAGTTGACAGAGTAAGTGAAGTAGAACCAGCAGTCATCAACATCCTTCTCTTTGCAGTGAGACAGGGGATCGGGCTGGCCGGGCTGCGGCAGCTTGTCCCGGCTCTCCACGCGCGTCATGTTGAAATGCATACATTCCTGGGAACACGTCTCCTTCTTCTCGCCCTTATCAAAAGCTCTGCACTGAACACAGTCCCTGGGCAAGAACAAAACAGAAGTAGTGCTTTTGAATGTGTTCATGGAAGATATCTAGCATTTAACCTAAAGAAACACTAAGGAGAAAACACAGGGAAAAAAGTCCAAGAAAACCAACCCCTTTGCCACAGAGGTTAGGAAAAAATAAAGCAAGATATGGCTTTGTACCAGTCAGAACATTTATATACCTTGAGACTAATAAAAGCCCTTTTCATGAATTCCTCTTTCCCTGAATGACTCACAGGCTTCAAGGAAAGAAAAAACCCCAAACTTTTTCAACACCTCTACCTGGGAGATGAATACTCTCAAGAAAAGCCACTGTAAGAACAGGGTAACACAGGTTATAAAGAACAAACTCAGTGACAAGCTTTACAACGGGGTATCAGTGAATAATTCATTGAAAAAAGCAGATTGAACAGGATTTTTATACTAAAAATAACAAAGTTTTTTCTCAGCACAAAGTGAGTTGCACAGGAATCTGCTCAGCCATTAATCCTAAACTTATTTCAAAGTTTTCATGAAGAAAATGTAGGCTTCTACAAACCTGTACTTCTAAAGGGAAGGATGCAAACTTCACTGGCTCACACAGTTCTAGGTTTAGTTTTTGACTGTCAAGTTAGTAATTTCAGTACTATTTAAGCAAAAAGCTTAGCTGAAATTCTAAGTATCAAAAGCTTTGTTTTAAAAATCCTCACACATCACAAACTCAAAACACATAGAAGCTTAGGGACTTGTTTTTCTGGGTACGTACTTGTGCTCTGCACAGACACCGACACAAGTCTGACACATTTCACATGTGGGGCCTTGGAATTTGGGATCTGTACAGTTACAGGTGCCACATTCACAGGTTCCTCTTCCATTGCAAATCTGCCCATTCGATGCCATACACGGTGCAGTATCCAAGGAACAGTCGCAGGCGCTGCCAGTGAAGTTGGGGAAACACTCGCACACTCTGCACTTACAGATCCCATTTCCTGTGCAGTGAAAAGGTATTGCAGAGAAATCAAGTTAATATAAAAAAAAACAGTGACAGTGAGAAATAAAGGTTTACCACCTCAGGGTAGATAAAAGAAAAAGAAACCATGGTGGAAAAAAATAAGTTTTAGATCCTTGAGAGACTACTTACAGGCATTCATCCCTTTTCCCATTTTCCTGTACATTCAGATTTCCTTTCATAAACAGAATAACATGACTTGGGAATATCAGATCAAGACTAGCATAATGTGATGACCATATTCCCCAGGTGGAGAGCTTTACAGCACAGCTTCAGTTCTCAATTTTGTATGCATACAGATAAATTGGCTGCTCCTGTCTTCATATCTATCACTATACAAACGTATAAAGATTTAAAAAGATGAAGTGTGCACTGAGTATTCAAAACACAGAAAATTGAAACAGCTTTGGCTCCACAGAACACCAATGTTCAGCTGCAGTACTTCTGATCTCACACACCCAACCCAACTTCATGATCCTTACACTCTCTGCACAAGAAACAAGATGCCTTTATACTGATCTGGAAGACAAGGAAAGATCATTAGAGAAGGAGGGGTGTGGCCAAAGAGAATAAAGCATTTCAGTCAACACTCTCCTGTCACCATGTATTCTGGAACATCACCACCACTGCTCCCATCCTTTGTAGAGCAATAGTGGATTCTGACCAAATCAAACAAATGAGGTATTCTCATCACTCAGAGCTTAGTGGCTTCTCTGTTTTACTTTTGCATCACAGACAACACTGAGGTAGTAGTTATACTCCTGCCAGATATTTCCACGTGCAAAGCAGCAAAATAATTTAGACACTGGCTGCTGAATGTTTTTTAAATTGCTTTTGATTTCAGGAATTGACTATCATTGAAGTCTTAAGCAGTCTCCAAGTGCTTACGGTGTTTTTCTAGATCTTGCACATTCTAGCCTTCATTTACCTTTCAGAAGAGTGTCAAGCAATTCACTGGTATCCTGTCAAGCACCAAAGCCAAGAATTCACTATTACAAGTAAAGCTGAGGGCATTCTCTCTTTCTGTTGACACGGTGGTTACACTGAGCCACTATAACATTACAATCTCAGAAGAGTTGTTTCAGCCCTCTTTACTGTAATACATGAGGGTAATTCTGCAATTAACAGCAGAAGTCAAGTTCACTTTACACCCTTGGAGCTGTGATTCAAGGAAGGTGAAATGTGCATTGACAGACTACATGCACAGAGAACTGTTTTATTAATAGACAAGTGTTTGCAATCACTACATCTGTGAGTATCCTCATCTCTGCTATGGAGTGGCTTTGATCTTTTAGCTAAGTATCCCTACTCTGCTGGGTAGAGAAGACAGACTTGCAAACTACTGACCAGCTGTGCCTGCAGAAAGCTGAAGCATCTCTCACCTCCACAGATTAAACCATTTGATCGATCACAGTTGAAGTTGTCACATTCACAGTATTTGCCAGAATACACCTCATTGGTGTTTTCCCTTTTCTTGCACACGCATTGTCCACAAATACATTCTCCATTGTTACTGCAGATTTCTGTGCTGTTCTCCCTCCTGCAGTAAGCATCCATATCCTCACTATTTACTTCATCTGTGCTACATTCACATAGTCTTCCAATACGTCCTTCATTACATCTGCAAGGTAAAAACATCACTGAAAATGTAATCTTAATTGAAAGTCACACAATAGAAGGCCACAAGAACAGCACAAAGAACAGGAGTAAAAGTGATGACACTCTCAAGGGATGTTCCAACTTAAACTTCAAATGAGGTTTCCAGCTGACAGCTATGCACCAGTTCTTGAAGGCACTGGAGCAAACTGGACTGAGCTGCTTTTATGCTGATTATCTTACCTAATGTTCCAGGTGAGAGACTATGTGTCACCCCCTCTAACTAATTTGTCACACAATTATTATTAATCCCTCTCTCATGTGACACAACAATAATTATTTCTCAAGTGACAGCAGCCGTTCTCTTTAGCTGCTGACATATTTCAACGAAAAGGTTTCTGATGATCAGCAATTAAGCAGGAGGGCAGATGATCTGCAGAGCTGCCAAACTGAGATCTTCAGGGATCAGCACTTCTCATTATCAAGACTAAGATATCGATGAGCAAATGGAGGCTGCTCCTGTGCCCATCAGTGATCGACAGACTGTTAAGAGGTGTCCATCACAGACAAAAGATCATTGGGAAGCTGCTGCATTTACAAAAACAAAAGGCTGTGCTTATCCACAGGCCTGTTCTTGCCCACGTGAAACCAAGTGGGCACCAGTGGCAGTCACACCAAGTAAAAGAAGTTTTTCTACACACAGATGGGAACAATCTTTCTCTGTATTTAAAAAGGAACACAAAAAATGGATCAATATCCTTTAAAGCACTGACTCAAGGCCAAATTTGAATTCTGACTAATACAATAATGCTGATCTAATGATCAATATTTAAGCATAGGGATTATTTGCAGAGATATGGCAGTATTTCAAAGTATCCTAAAAGAAACAGGCCCCCAACAGCAATTCTTGTATCACTAAAAAAAATTAATAAACCCAAGTAAATCCTAATTAAGGAAACAAAGATCTTGCTCATATTTCTCTTTCACAGAAATAAAGAAAATGTCTGTTTGTTTACCTGCACGCACCACATTCAAATGTTCCATTTCCTGCATGGCAGGCTGGACTATTAGGTTCTCCTTCACTTTGACACTGACACTCACAGATGAACTGGAGATTAATTTCCAGTTCTTCAGTGAATCCCAGTGGTTTAATTTTAATAGTTTCATTTTGTTCTTTCTTTGGACATTCATTAGCTGTTATATTAATCTCAAATATAACCTGAAAAAAAAAAAAAAAAAAGGAGTGTCATGTTACTACATGTCTGTACTATTAAAAAGAAATGCTGTGTTGGACACTTTAAGTGCATTTTTTATTTGAGCAGCAGCCCATATACTCTGAGTTACCTCATCTCCAATTGAAATGTTAGAACACTTCCTTCCTTCTTCTTGTGTGCCATTCACTCCATTCTTGCAGAAAGATTTGTAACTGATTGTCACTCCTTTTGGTAGCTTAGTATTTTCCAGGATAACCTCTGAAGAAAGGGACTGAAACAACAGTGATTACCTAACTTCAAACTGAGTTGCAGAAGTGTTTTGTTGAAGAACAGATATTAAACAGCTATGCCCAGTCTAAGCACCAACCCCACAGGCACACTGGAATTATTTAAGTTCTGAGAGTGCTGAGAAACACCAGCCCAGGGCTGCCCAAAGTCACACCGTGGTTACCCCCTTCTCATGTCTCAACTTGTTACAAGGTCAGGACAGGTTTCCACAGGCACTCATTTACCCCATGTGCTCCAAAGGAGAGGTGAAACTCAGTTACACACAATGGAGCAATGGAGAAAATATTGTGGGGCCAAACCCAGCAAAATGGCTTTTTTGGCCAGCACTTGGAAAGAAGGTAAAAGTGAACAAGTTGAAGAAACAGCGTGGGTTTTGGTTGTGAATTTTATCTTTTGAAAGTGAAAACGTGGATGGTTAGTTTTCTTTGTAATGCCATTTTAAATGCCTTTAAGAGGGTATCTTTTTATTCATCTAACCTCTTATTGTCATAGAGTCTGAATGTTCAGTATGGTTTTACAGCAATGGAGTATATTTATAGTGTAAAAAAAATACTAACCAGTCCACCTTGGAGTCTCTGCTTGAAAAACTTGGGAGCAAAAAAAAAAATCAATAAATAAAATCTGAACTTACATTGTATGCATCAATGATCAGCTGAATCACATTGCTGGAATTTGAAGACAATGTCCCCACTGCTGATTTTGGTATCAGATTTTTCAGTTCCTTTCAATATTGACAAAAACAGAAGGAAAAGTACAGTCTTACTGGCAAACAAAGTATAATTTTCAGTTTAAATGGTGATATAGTGTGTTAGTGGATTCACTAGTCGAGTACTTCAGCAAACAAAGCTGTGTTGCCAGTGATGAACACAATTTTTGAGGTTATACATAGCTCTACTAGCACAAACACCCAGCCTTTTCTTCTCCTTTGCATTTTAACTCTGATTTTGGTAACAGAATACTAAGCCCTTCTCTTGTACATGTTGACCACAATCTCTCTTCAACCACAGTTGGAATACATTAAAAATAGATAGGCATAATTTTCCAACAAAAAAAAAATAAAAAAATTTGAATACAGTTTATAAAAGAACCCCAAAACCAAAAAAACAGGTTAAAAGAAGGAAAAATATGCATGTCCTTTACACAGTCATTTCCTATTGCACAATCATATCCAGCAGTTTAGTTAATTTTAAACATGGGGTATATAAATAGAGCACAAGAGACAAAATACGTTCTTTCATAACTGTGTCCCCTGGATTCAGTGTCCACACCCCCCTCAGCTATTTTGTTGTAAAAATGTTCACAAAAATTAGAACTGCAAATGTGTTCTCCACTCACTCATACCTATATAATGAATAGCAAGGAGAAGGAGCACTTTCTCACTGGAAATTACAGTCATTTTTGATTTGAAGAAATAAAAAAGCTTAATAATAAAGTATGTGGGTAGCAAAATATTACTTCCATGCTCACTTACTTCCACAATTACTTTAATTTCAAATAAGTCAATTTTAATGACTTCAGAGCAATTTCTTTACCTTATAGACTGCTTGAAACTCTTCAGTAACAGCAAATATTGTCTGAATATTGTTCTCACTGAGTTTCTGTACCAGATGAGCAATAGAGGGATAATCCTAAAAAAATCAATCATAAAATTGAATTCAAATTTGAAACTTGTTGCTAGAAAATAATCAAAAATACTCTGACATCATAAATACAAATCTTCTTTAGAAACATACATACAACTCCTAACTAGCCAGCTCATGCCACAGTATGAAAGCAAAACAATCTCTGTAAACAAACAGGCATTGGTAAGATCTCATATGTGCCTCATAAAGATAGGTGTTTCTTCACATGGGCATTATCACATTCCATGACATGTAAAAGGTTAGGTCCTTAAATTCTCAAAAAATTATCTTCAGTCCCTTAAAACCACTACTTCTTGCACTGTTTCACAAAGAAATGATGAAATAAAACTGAATTAATTTTAGGCCTTTATTGAACAATTTTCACTCAAAGTTAGGAATATATGAACACACAAACTTAGTAAAGCTTATTGTGGTTACCCCATCTGGTAAATATTTCTCTTTGCATTTCTGACTGATCTCCCTTCCAGTAAACCACAAAGGCAATGTTAACCATACTCTTACCATTAACTTTGCATCATACAAATTCAGTCTTAAAAAACTATTCAAGCAGATATTTTACAGTATTTTTCACTAGTAAGGTATTCTAAATGAAAATGAAGACTGGTGAAATGATAAAATAATGAAACAGCCATCACAGTTTTCTAGTGGATATACAAGCCCATCACTTAGGATGATGTGCCCAAATCACAGGTTGGGCTCTGTGACACTTGTACATCCCTTCCAACTCTGAATATTCTGTGATTCAGTGTGGCATACAGGATTATTAGTCATCAAAAAGGTTAAAATCCAGCAACACATAACCATAGCATCGAAGTTGCCATTTCTTGAAATTTTCCAGTTAAGACTGGATTAATTCATGCACATTTGCCTTAGTTTAGCTAAAATCACTTCATGTAAACAGATGAACTTTCTAAGACAGTGGTCTGAAACTATACCAGATAACCTGATGAGTTATTTTGATCTTAAGCATCATAAAATATTCATTTCCCTAGAAGATGATATAAAGACTTACGTAATAGTGGCTCATTGTGTACACATTATTTTCCAGATGACATTTCCCATCATTTGGCAGAACAATTCCACCAAGTTTACCATCTCCTGCGAAGTGGAATCCAGCATCCGTGGAAAACACTAATAGCCTTGTAACATTCCTCCAGCCAATTTGTTCCTTGGGAAAAACACAATCAGATTCTTGGTATTTTGTACCAATTTATTTTGAAGCATTGGGGCCCAATACTTAAGAGGAAAGTACATGGAAAAGTAGACAAACTTAGGAGAAGCCACATTGCAAAAGTGTCACCCTGGAAAACATTAATTCATGCAAACCTTGGGAACACTTATGTATCATTAAATGTCTGCTTCAAAATATCTACTGCAGGTTCTTCATCAAAGGCAAAAAAGATTATTTTTGAGAGAGACTCTGTTCAGCTCTCACAGGAGTATCTGAGGAGTGACAAGGTTTGGAAATCAGGCTCTTCAGTGCCAGTTCCACTCCATGCCCTGACCAGGCAGCCCCAGGGTGCTGGTGTGCAGCACTGCTGCATCACTGAACTGCCCAGCACCACACCCTGACAATCACCTGGCTTTGCCAACCTAGTGCTGCACCCAGCACAGTGCCTGCCAGAGGACTGGCCCACGAGCATCCTGCTTCACAACTGCAGGTAATAATTATGATAATTAAAACAGTTTAATTATCTAAACTGCCCTTTCCTATTTTTTTTAATTTTTCCATGGAGCTGAAGCCCTAGCTAATTTAATGAAAGAAGACCATGTAAAAGTGTCATATACTAACAGCTAACACCAAAAAAACCCTAGAAGATTAACACTGCACTTTTAAACCAAGACTCCAGATCATTTCAGAAAGTCTTGAATCCATTGATCAACAGCAAAAATAATATGGTAACAAAGCAATAAACTTAGATATTGCTTTTTTGAGATTCCATTCTGTACATAGAATAGTCTGTCAAAAGGACAGAAACGAAGAATCCTTAGGCCCACAAAAATAAGTAAAAAACCATTTTTCCATCTACTTTCTGAGAAACTAGTAGAAGTCACAATACACCAAATTTCTGCAACCACAACCACAAGAAACTTACAGATCTTTAGAATAATCTGAGAATAATTGCTTACTCAGGATCTCAGACACTTTTAAGCAAACCTGACTCTTTCTCTATAGCAACTTTAAAAGCTTTGTCTGTACATGCTGTGATCACAACCTCTGTTCAGCACTTTCACATTTCCCAGTTTCATTCTAACTGAATTCTTCCTCACCAACCCTGTCTTGCTTGGAGGAGGTGACATATTCAAATGCCAGCCACCATAAAACACTAATGTTGCATTCAAACAATTTAATCTAATAGAACAATAAAAAAATAATACACTCACCCCACAAACTGCAACCTGCATTATTGCATCAAATCCACCTTCAGGAGAATCTAAGTTCCCAGAAATGTGCTGTTTACCTACAAGTTCATTGAATTTGTTTCCTTCACTGGTAAGGCTGAGTACATTTTTATAGCTAAATGGACTTGTACAGTTCTGGTCCCCTGTGCAAGGATTTCTGAGTTTGGCTGGGGTTGTACTTATATAAGGCATCACAGTTTTCTCCACAAAAGAGCCAAAGCCTAAGAAAAGAACAATAAAATCCCTGTAAGTTGAAGAATGGAAGTCTCATTTCTATTATCACACAACAGAATTCAAATGCATTATTGCTGAACCAACATCAGAAAAAGTTCTTATATTTATGTCCCATCTTCTCCGCCAATGCCAAATACTTTTATGCTGTTCAACAGGTCCTATGTATTAGAACATCTGCCATAATACTGCTAAATTGAAAAAAAAAAAATACTCTTCATATACAATCATGTGAAAAACATCAGGAAGGAAACTTGGGGGGGGTTTAATTTTTCTTTTTTTGAATAGGCAAATCTTTCTTACCAATCCGAAAGTCTGAAGTTATTTTTTCCATCTCTAACATCAGAGCGGTTCCGAGACTTTTCACATTCTCTAAATCATCTTTCATAGAGTAGGAGAGGTCCATAAGATAATAAAGGTCAATGGGGTAGTCTTCAGCTCTCTTGAATTTTAATGAAAATGTCTGGGGTTCTCCTGTTTCAGAGATTAAATAACAAACAAATCATTAAAAATTCCGTAACTGCACTGGCAAGAAAAATGCCTTTCTAAGGAAAGGCTGGCAAAATCCTTACGAGGGTTTTGAATTACAGGTGATTCTTTTCTCCTGTTGACTGAAATGCTTAACATCAAATTATGATGAAAAAAATGTCAACAAGTGTTTCAAATGTTCAGCTTCATATTTCCAAGGTAGTTTATCTCCCCACAGAAAATCAGCATGCCAAAACCCAAGCTTCTTGTACTTGCTGCAATTTCAGATCTTCACACTTGCAATCATTCTAACAATATTCCTGTAAGACCTAATAACACAATTTTTCAACATCTATTTTCATCCAAGATGACTTCAGTAATTCTCAAAAGTTATAAAACCACATTTTTTAAATAGGTTTATAAAAGTAAAATGAGTTCTGGATGGAATATTGTAGGTTACTTTGAATCTACCAAGCTCAGAGCACAGAAATGGCAGTGAGAGAATAGCAAGTTAGTATTTGCTGCGATTTTAAGCCCAGACCCTGCATTTTAGCTGCAGAAGAATGTAGTCTCACTCTGATGCTGAAAGACAGAAGGATTACACACACATACCACACACTCCCTTTCCCAGAAACTGGAACTGTATTCTTTTGCCTGTATTTATGAAATAAGGAATTAAAGCAATAGGATTTCCTGCTCCCCTTGGTAATTGAGCTTAAATGGCAGTATTGCTGCTACTCAAGTTTGCTTAATATTAGGAAACGTTTGCTAAACATCAGCAAAATTAGTATAAGTGAGAAAAACATTATATGGGCAAGTTAAATAGCATATGGATCACACAGGTATATAACACAGTTTTCACAAAAAGACCTCCAAACAACAAAACAAAGGGGAAAAAAAGCCGTAACACAAAAAAATCCAGCACAAAAATATATTTAAATTTTCCTCAGCTAATATTTAAAAAAACCTGCACAGAAAGCAAGTATCCCCCTCTGCAAGTACACAGTCCCTCAGAGAACTTATACCAATGGAAGTGCTTACAAACATCTTCTGGGTAATTAGATTCTGGTTGCCCAGGTCCCTGCTTTGTTCTGATGAAGAAACTTCTGTGTCAACAGAGGAACAATAATTGGGTTTGAAGCAAAAAAGTTCACATTAGAAATAAACAGGAGCCATACCAAAATTGCAAAATAATTTTCATTACTTCCCTCCCTACCTCATGCTGAGCCTGCTTCACATCACCTTCCAATTATTACTGCAACTGCCAAAAAGCAGCTGACCCCAAGTACAAGCTCTTACAGGAAAATACAAGGCAGCTGTTCAATGTGTCTACAGTACCTAAGAACTCTCCTTGAAGACAATCTCCACTGTGCTCAAGTGAGCCACTAGTCCTGTTTCTCCCTGCCCTCTCATTTGAATGAGATAGTTCTCTTTAGGGGCTAGAAGTGGTGCACAACTACTTTGTTTTCTCATTACTGTGGTTCTACGTCCACATCTTTAGCCTCTGGAAGTGCTTTACCTAGCAATCCAAAAACTGTGCTGCATAACTACAAAACCACTTTGTTCAGACACACAGACTTTCAGGCAAAAGCAGCACTTCAAGCAAAAGGAAACACTCTCATAACTTAAAAAGTTTTTGCTGACTCCTCTTTCATCCTACACACTGTAGGCACACTGTAGAAAATCAACTACAAAATACTGAAAACAAAACAGTTTTACCTTTCTGATTCATCTAACAATCCATGTTGTATCAATTTTCTCCTAAGTTCTATTGGGAAAATAGAACAAGTGATAATATCTAATCTTTCTTCAAAATAAAACAGTATTTGGAGTACCTAAAAACCTGGAGCTGAATTGAAAGGCTCTGCTATCATTCACGTTATCTGAAAAATAGTAATTTCTGAAACAAAATGGTTACACACAAATAAAAAAATGCAGATGTGGTGGGGACAGAAAAATCATCCCAAAACTGGAACGAAACTGTGCTTACCGACTCTTAGAAGCAGTGATAATTTCTGTGGCTGAATTTGTGTAATGGCTTCTGGTCTCAGCTTCTCTGCAGCACCTTTCTTACGATTTGTTACTTCTCTATTTTCGAGCAGCTGTTTGTTGCCTCTGGGATTTTCTATATCTTCCAGAGGGCAGCCTTTACTCTTCAGTGCTGCCAAGTCATCACACCGGGCAGATGTTGGCTCTCCTTCTTGCAAAAAGTCCTAGAAAACACAGGCAAAAGAGTATCAAGTTCACAGCTATATGAAAGTTGTTATATTCTACCCACAAATGCTCTCTCTACAATGATCACATCTTTTTTTTCCTCAAAGTTCAGTAATAAAACACATGGTCTTGAAATATATTAAATGATACTACACACATTCAGTGACTACTATTTACTCCAGGAGTTTGCATCTACTAATACTTATTTGTGTATAAGATGCAAGTATGAGGAAAAAAAAAAGCCCAATGTCACCTCCAGCAGAAGTGGGACATCTATTTAAAGTGGCTGCTCTAAAAGTGACTGCAAGTAGAAAAATCTTACATTTTCACACAGTTACCAATAACGTGAACCTACTTATACAGCATGCTTTTAACATTCTTTCCTTTTTAATTAAGATTGTATAAATATACCTTGGTACTCCACAACAAAGTAACAGCTATATGCTGACAGAGCAGGGCAAAGACAGACAAATCTTTATTTTTGGGAAATTCAGCCTGAAAGTAATACCCATAAGCAAAACCAATCCTTAACTTTGTTCTGAACAACAAATTATCATTACTTCAAACCTTAAAAAAGCTCTAACCTCAAATATAAATAAATAAGGCTTCTAATTGAGAAACTTGGCAATTCTGATTCTGCCTCCATCCCCAAAATACGCATATAAATAAATGTATATTAAAACCTGACAGTTTTTGATGACACAGACCTACAGGAAATCTGATAGCTCAAGGCTAAATGACAAAATCAGTCAGTCTAATTAAATGTTGCAAATTTATAAACTGGTTTTGGGGAATAGGAAGTTGGCAATATATAGAAATAAAGATGAATTATTATCTCCTAGCAAGAAACAGGAAAATTTGTCAGTATCCATTAACAAACCAAAGAAGAGCTATAGAAAACATTTTCTTCTGTTTCTAACCTGAAGATGATATGTCAGCATACACTGGTTGTATCTTATATTTTATAGTTTCCTGATTTAATTTTTTCTTAATCTAAGAACATACCCTTTTTGTTTCATAATGAAACAAACTACCCACCCCCAGAAACCTATCTCCTACTCCTCAAGTCTACCAACAACAGAAAACAAAAATTTGAAAAATTTTTTTAGTTTTCAAAAGGAAAAAACCCTTTCAATCTCTTTCCCTGCTCCTCCTACATCTGTATAAAATTAGCTCTTACTCTAATGTCACTGGAAGAATATAATTAGCATACTCAGACTGAGTCCACATTGGAACAATTTTAAATAACTATGAGATAGCCTATAGGGTCTGTATACACTTAGGATTTAGAAAAGGAGAACTAAACACATTGTAAAAAACATTTATATTTAAATCAGAAAAATTATAGTATTTGATTTTTTAAGTACAAATAAGTACTGAACTGAAGAAGTAGAGGAAATTACTATTAATGAAAACAGACATTTCTAAATGGGTATTCACTAAAGTTTGGAAAAAGCCAAACCATAAAGAGATTTTTGCAACACTTACTGTTTTTTTACACCAGCCACAGTTTGGTCCCGCTTGTATACATTCCCCACATGACTTGGCATTAGCTTTTATGCAGTCGCTTCCACCTAGTGAGGAGCACAAATCCGTCACTTCACTTATAGAAAGGTGTTCACAACAGCAGCATTTCACTTTGCTTCACTCTAGCTTTGTAAGCTAAGTTCCAACTACAAAGAGGTTATTAACATGAGACATGACTGACCTACTGCCATTAACATTTGTCTCACTATCAGCATAGTGAGGATGTATTTATCCACATAAATAACAGTTCTAAAGCAGCAATTAACTACTGCAGTGCTATCAAGTGCCTTACCCTGCTGGGCAAATCCATTCCATATCAAGCAACAGAGGACACCAGCACATGTGAATAATCTGAAATTAGTCTGGAAGACAAAACCAGAAATCAAACTGGATGATTTACTGTAATGAGGGGGAAAAAAAAAAAAAAAAACCCAACAAAAAAAACCACCACAAAGCTGTGGACATATAACTGTGTTTGAGAAGAGACAAGGAACACAGAACAAATGCAAATCTAATTATGTTAGTTGTACCAGCTAGACAGTTTTGCCCTGATACAAACAATATTTGTGGTCTACACTGTATTTAGAAGATATCAAACAGGGTAGCTTCTTATATCATTTTGAAATGCTCTTCTGCTAGGTAAACCAGAAAGCAATGAGAAATCTGATAACACTGTTCACTTGAGGGGAAGAACCCAGACCAATCTTTTAACACCTTATAAAAAAATATTTATGCTCTGAATATTATCAGAGAGAGAAGTCTAAATAAAGCTACCACATCAATACAGGACGGAAACAGAGCTTCTATACTCGCATCTCTGTTTCAAGATAAACACCAAGGCCCTTTACAAAACATTTTCTTAGGAATCTTCAAAGGGCATTTTACAGATTAACTTTGCACTTAGTACAACAAACTAGAAATTTCCTCTCAAAATATGCACCATAAAGCACCCCTGACAAACTCTACCCATTTTTTCTTATTTAGACAACAGAAAATTAATGGATACCACCCATATCAAAGAAAAAACACTTTATTCAGTGCTGTAAGTATTATGAAAAGCTAAATATTAGCCTTTCATTTTTTTCTGCCTTAATAGCAGGTAATCAGCCAGGGTCAGTTGTCTTTTTAATTTTGATACTATTTTAAATTCCATTTATCTTTTATTTGTTATAAGAGTTCTAAGAACTTAGATGATAACAGCATTTCTTTGTACACCCTAAAAAGTTGTTGCTAATTAAAGCCTCTCCAGTCATCCTGGAAACAAAAGTATTCTTAATAACTTTTTGTTCTAAAAAATATCTTGCAGTACAGCCAAGGGAAAGTGAATTTGGCAGAATCTCCTAAACTGAACATGTACTTTTTCTAGAAGATGTACTATTTTTCGTACAAATTAGCAATGAAGTAAGCAATGCTCAAATTAGCACAGCAGCTGAGCTTTGGGTTTTGCACGCTGAAACACAATTGTTACTTTGCACATCCATCCAGACCTATCAGAGAAGGGATGGCTGCTCCAAAATCTGATGGGGAAAGTTTCAAACAGAAGCCAACCCTTTGCTAACAAATTGTATCCAACAACAGTATTAGATGGCTCATATTTTTCTGATAAATCATTTTGGCTTGCTTTTCAGTGGATGCTATGGTGAGAGGACAGGCAGTCGAGTTTAGACAAAGGAGAATTAAGAGAATATCCTGTTGAACTACTTTGATAGATATTATAAGCACAAAATAAATTACTGGTTCAAAAAAGAGGAAAAAACTGAACTGTGAATTACGTCTTACTTAACTTTTGAACACTACTTACTGCATATATGCAACTAGAATTTCTCTCTGCACATTGCTGCAAGTGCCCAGTCCTTCATTCACAAAAACTTTCAGCCAAGAACACTCTTTTATTAAGTCCCTGAAAAGCAATCACCTAAATTCAACATATACAACCACAAACCTAGATCAGAAGGGAATGGTGACCCAAAGAATGTGAGCAGGTGGAAGACAGATGAAGGGACTAAACCAAAACTTGGAAAGACAGTGGTTACATGGTTAGGAGCTCACCTACCAGAGCAGGAGTCTGGACAGCAAGTCTTTACCAGGTTGCTCAACTTTTACGTTCTTCTTTCCTGGTTTTATGGTAGGTATGTTGTTGTAGCCAGCAAATCTTGCTTCCCACAAGTGAAAGGATATTTTGTTATTTGAGAAGTTTTGCTTTTAGTACAGCCCAGAATGGGCTGGGCTTTTCAGCAAGACAAAAGGTAAGCTTGCTGGCACCAGCTGAGTACCATCTTTTCTGTCAGCCTAGACAAGAAAATTATAAACAGTTCACCTTTTTAGGGCACGCTCTGAGTGGGAGCACAGCAAGTCCACACAGACTGTATAAATAAGTCAGCAAAGATCTGACACAGTGCTAAAGCTATGATTAAGACCATTTGGGAGCGAACCGCTCCAGTGGAAATGCATCCGCATGATGAATGCAGTTCTGGGCACAGAGTCCTGGAGAAGTTAAGGAGGAAAATGTCCTTTTCCATATATGGCTGCGCCAATGCCTCTCCCGGAGCGACGCACGCAGCTCGCTTCCTTTACCTCCACAGCTTAATGGCTTTTCCAGCTGCCAAGTGCTGGGAAAACACCAGCAGAGATTGGCTGCTTTGGATTCAGTTCTGACTGCTGTCCCATGCAAGCAAAGCCATGCACGCCCTCGTCCTCCGACCCTCCTGCCGGCAGCTGCAGCGTCAAATGCACTCCCCTGCAAGTCCCAGTCAGCACCGGGAACTGCCCTCTTGCAGATTTTTCCACTGAGGGAATAAATCCAAATAACTCCCGAGTACACTGAATGGCCAAAGGAAGCCTTTGGAAACCCTTGGTGTGGAGCTATAACTAAATGTTGTGTCAGTATTTGACCACAGGTGACTGCACACAGAAAAAAAACCCAATCGTTACAAGAAATAAATTCATATTTGATACAACATTTAACTATTTTCTATTATACTTGTTCTCCCCTTTCTAAATCCTTGAAAAATATTCCAGAATTCTTGAAAAAGTGGGGGTTTTTTTCTCCCTGAAATAAGCAACTCAAAGCCAAGAGATTGAAATCTCTTTAATAACTGTACCACCACTTGGATCCTTTTTAAAAGGCTGCAAATGCCGTGCTGTTGAAAAACTGATTTTAAAATTATTTCTGCACATTTGTGAACCATAATCTATGTTTGTTAAATATTTTAGGAAAACAAACATGGACACAACCTTAAATGTTTAGATCAGATGCTTTCCAAGTTGCTTTTTTTTGCTGTCTTGACAAACAGCAATGCTTGAAGAAAATTTTTAATTTATAAAATCAGCTTTGATGGAAATTTCTGGAAGTTTTAATCTGAAATGAGAGACTCACTGAGTGACAATAGAAAGAAGGAAGGATTATTTCACCATAGAACTTTGAATTTGTAAATTAAGTATTTAGAACCTTTACATTCTGTTAATCATCAAGATATTTAGAAATTAACCACTCCACAGTACTGAAGCCTTTTAAAATTTATTTATTAGAATGGCAATAGCATCCCTGCAGAAAATTAACAGGGCAAATGGGATTGAGGAAGAAACGTAAGAGTTATACACACATTTATTACTTTGAAATTAAATACTGATGGCTATGCTGCTCTCCTCTCATCACTCTCCAGCTCAGCACTGCCACACTTCATACAGATATTAAGGCAATATTAACAACAACGTGTTAGATTCCTGCAGTATTATTCCCCTCAACTAAGCTGCTCCTCATCTCACCCAGTCACACAGTACCCACCAAGCTGATGGCAAACACAGGAAAACAACGCATGACATCTGCCCCTGCTGCATTCTGAACTGTGCCTTACTGCAAAGCTTTCCATTGAAACACGCAACCAGACCACAGGGGAAACATTTCAGTGTGCAGTAGGAGCTGAGCCGTTGTGCAGATGCCACCTTTTTGAGGCAGTATCCACAAAGTCAACTTATATCCCCACACCCTGCTCTAATTGCATTTATAAACCTAGAAATGAATACACAACTCACAGTTTTGGGCTCACTTTCATGCTTCTCACAGCCTAACACTTCTTAGCATGAGCTGTATTTTCATGGGTTTAAATCCTGGTTCAGAAATGCTGCACAGAATTAATTCCTCCCAGAGATGATGTTATGTTAACAGCCACTTTCACGTAGTCCAAGGATGGAAAGCCACTAAAGAGAGCTGCCCCATCCTCCTTGTTGATTATTCACTTTTGTTAATCAGCCTCCTGGCTGATAATTCTTACTGCTTTCCTTTTTGATCAGTGGCAGCATTACTGTGGCCGACAGGAGGGCTGGAGCAAGAAAAGATCTGTCTGAAACTAATCCAACATAGAAAGTGTCTTATTTCCTCCACCTGGGTACAAAAAACACTTATCCTGGTGTGGCAGAAGTGGTGAGGTGAGGACAAAGAAAAAGAAAACTTGGGGTGGGTGGGTAAGTAAAAGCTCCTGCTGCTCAGCCAGAGGCTGTGATTGTGTGCTGGACTACACTGGTCACACAGCCAAGCCCCCACCAGGCATGAAGGCTCCGGTTAAAAAAGGAGCGGGAAGAGACACTTTTCTAAAATAAGCAGAATGAAATAGTCTCTGGAGATGCCTGTTTCAGAACTTGGTGGCTACCCTGCTAAAACAGTTCCTTCTTCCCTCCCTCCAGAAGGGCTCCTGGCATTAGCTGAGGGCCATACTTTTCAGTGTGAATTTTACTGACTGGCAGAATGGATCCCACTGACATTTCCGAAAAAAAAAAGTGGGGGGGGGTAAAAGAAGGAACTGAAGAACCAAACAGCCTTAGTGACATGGGACAGCACTTACACAGACACTACAAACCTCTAGCAATGACCTGCAAATACTCTTGAAAGCAGAACTCCCACAACAGATGCCATTAATTACAATCCTCAAGTTGCCTGCACATGAAACAACTCAAACATATTTGCTTGTACAACTATTCACTGTGGAGAAGTAATTTACTAGAAAAGAAAGCAGTAAAATGGTATCTTGCTGTTCTGTCCTGAGAGAAGCATATTGCTGAGTAAGGCACCAAAAAAAAAAAAAAAGTGGTTTTACATGAAGGAGCTACTTTTGATTAAAGCTTTCAAGCCTGTGGTACAGATTTCCCCACAAAACTTAAATTGGTAATTCTTCATTTATGACCTTCACAGCTACTTACTTACCTAATCAGTGTTACTGTGATACTGGAGTATACTTGGAATACACTACACAGTAAGTTCCAGGACCACCATTAAGAAACTACGTGCTGCATTCTTCATTAAACAAGCAGAGATTTGGGATAAACACTGGTGCTTGAATTGCCAGCAATTTTAATCAAAGAACCCAAT